TAAAAACATATTTGTATATTATTTATTTACTATACTTGTATACCGCCTTTCTCAGCCTATCAGCGACTCAACAAGTCAGTACAACATAGTAGCAAAATACAGATTAAGCATTAAAATAATATAAAACAACAATAGAAACAATAAAAACCAACATCATTATCATCAGCATCTCCTAGTTAAAACTGTTGCCCAAGTTCCATTGTCAAGTGATTCCATTTCCTATGTCAGTTACTCTGCATTTGTAAACACTTGCTCATATAACCATGTCAATTTGTCTCTGAAACGTTGAGAGTGAGGGAGCCGATCTAATCTCCTTAGGGAGGGCGTTCCATAGCCAAGGGGCTACCACGGAGAAGGCCCTGTCTCTTGTCCCTGCCAGACGTACTTGTGATGAAGGCAGGATCGAGAGCAGGGCCTTCCCGGACGATCTTAAAGTCCTAAATGGTTCATAAGGGAAGATGCGTTCGGACAGGTAAGTTGGGCCAGAACCATGTAGGGCTTTATAGGCTAAAGCCAGCACTTTGAATTGTGCCCGGTAGCAAACTGGCAGACAGTGGAGCTGACGCAACAGAGGAGTTGTATGCTCTCTAAGTGTCTCTCCTGTTAGCAATCTGTCTGCCGCCCATTGGACCATGTGAAGCTTCTGGACAGTCTTCAGAGGCAGCCCCACGTAGAGTGCGTTGCAGTAGTCTATACAGGATGTAACCAGTGCGTGGACTACTGTGGCCAAGTCAGACATACACATGTCGGTTAAAACAATTAAATCACATCCTAATACATATAAAAACTATAAAAGTCTATAAAATAGTGTTTTCCAATCCAATTCCTCATCTGTTTATATCCTCTTTAGCCGTTACATATTCTTTCCAGTTGTATTTATTTGATCACGCTGAAGTTTCAAACGCCTGCTCAAAGAGTAAATGTTTTCACTCTTTCAAAAAGTAAAAGGGAGAAGGAGTTGGTCTAATATCCCTGGGCAGGGAGTTCCACAGCCAAGGGGCCACCACTGAGAAGGCCCTGTCTTTCGTCCCCGCTAGACGCACCTGTGAGGCAGGCGGGATGGAAAGCAGGGCCTCCCCAGATGATCTTAAATGTCTAGAAGGTTCATAGGAGGAGATACGTTTGGATAGATAAGCTGGGCCGGAACCATTAATGTTTCACTCATACTTGGGTGAGCCAATGAACATGTGCTATTTGACATCCTAACAACACCAATGCTCTTTGGGTAGACATCTTATGTGATTGTTAATGTATGCCAAGTATGGATATAGAATCCCAGAATTGGAAGGGACCCCAAAAGTCCTCCAGTCTGATCCCCTTTTGACAGACAGGAAAATCACAACAGGGATTTAGGGAACCAAATAGAAGCATTAATATTTCCTTCTTACTTGGGTGAGCCAATGCACATGTGCTATTTGATATCTTGCTCGCAGAGTCCTAACAACACCAGTGTTTTCAGGCAGGCATCCTATGTCCCTCGGCCTGTCATTGAATATCGAGAAAACCAAAGTGCTGTTCCAGCAGTCACCAGCCAGTCCCTCTCCAATGCCAGAAATACAGCTTAATAGTGTAACACTAGAAAATGTTGACCATTTCCGCTCCCTTGGCAGCCCCCTCTCCACCAAAGTCAACATTGAGACTGAAATACAACACCGCCTGAGCTCTGCAAGTGCAGCATATTTCCGAATGAAGCAGAGAGTGTTTGAGGACCGAGACATCCGTAGGGAGACCAAGGTGCTTGTTTATAAAGCTATTGTCCTCCAAACCCTGCTATATGCCTGCGAAACGTGGACTATCTACAGACGTCACATGCAACTCCTGGAACGATTCCATCAGCGCTGCCTCTGGAAAATCCTGCAAATCTCTTGTGAAGACAAGTGGATAAATGTCAGCGTGATGGAAGATGCAAAGACCACCAGCATTGAAGCGATGGTCCTCCACCATCAACTCCGCTGGACAGGCCACATTGTCCGGATGCCCAACCACCGTCTCCCAAAGCAGTTGCTCTACTCCGAACTCAAAACGGAAAACAGATATTGACAAGCTGGAATGTGTCCAGAGGAGGGTGACTAAAATGATCAAGGGTCTGGAGACCAAGCCCTATGAGGAGCGGCTTAAAGAGCTGGGCATGTTTAGCCTGAAGAAGAGAAGGCTGAGAGGAGACATGATAGCCATGTATAATTATGTGAGAGGAAGTCACACGGAGGAGGAGGGAGCAAGCTTGTTTTCTGCTTCCCTGGAAACTAGGACGTGGAACAATGGCTTCAAACTACAAGAGAGGAGATTCCATCTGAACATGAGGAAGAACTTCCTGACTGTGAGAGCCGTTCAGCAGTGGAACTCTCTGCCCCGGAGTGTGGTGGAGGCTCCTTCTTTGGAAGCTTTTAAACAGAGGCTGGGGGGTCATCTGTCAGGAGTGCTTTGAATGCAATATTCCTGCTTTTTGGCAGAATGGGGTTGGACTGGATGGCCCATGAGGTCTCTTCCAACTCCATGATTCTATGAATGTTGGTAGGCAGGAAAAGAGATTTAAAGATGGACTCAAAGCCAACCTTAAAAATTCTGGTATAGACACTGAGAACTGGGAAGCCCTGGCCCTTGAGCGCTCGAGCTGGAGGTCAGCTGTGACCAGCAGTGCTGTAGAATTTGAAGAGGTACGAATGGGGAGCAAAAGAGAGAAACATGTCAAGAGGAAGGCGCATCAAGCCAACCTCGACCGGGACTGCCTTCCACTTGGAAACCAAGGCCCTCACTATGGGAGAAGATGCAGGTCAAGAATAGGGCTCCACAGTCACCTACAGACCCACCGCCAGGACACTGACCCTGGAAGACTATCCTACTTGGATAACGAGAGATCTCCTAAGTAATATGTCCCTTTGGTCTCCAGATTTCTTGCCTTGCAGAGAATAAAACAAGGAACACGACTCCCTTCTTTTACATGCTCCTCTTTTGTTGCTTTCCCACCCCTTCATCCTGGAGCTTCTTTTTTCCAGGGGAAGGAAAGCAGCGATGGGGTTAAATGGGAGGCCGGCCCCTCTGTCCTCTTCCAGCTCCATTCCTGGGACCTTTAAATGGGCATGGAGTGCGTTTGCGCCCGAGGCTGGGGCCTTGGCAGCTGAGCGCTGGGCAGGGCAGAGCAGAAGGGCAAACAGAGAGGCCGGGTGTGGTGCCCAAGCGAAGGGAGGAAGGGCCCTCTTTTGGGTACACTTCTGGCACACTGAGCCAGAGAGAGAGAAGGAATGTGCATGGAGTGGTGTGCTCTTTTGCTTCGGAGGGGTGTGTGCCGAACTCAGTAGAAAACCGCATGTGTGTATATGTTTAGTTGTTGTTTGCCTCCACAGAGAGAGAAGTGTGGGTTGCATTTTTGGGAACCCAAGCAAGAAGGGGAAACCGTCGAGTGTGAGTCAATGTAAAGGAGCCTGTTGTGGCCGTACTGAAAGGAGAAAAGCAATGTGACAGCAAAGGGTGTGTGTGTGTGTGTGTATGCTTGTGTAAAAGAGGAGTGCATGGATTAATGTAGGCGGTGCACACCCTGCACCGGAGAAAGGGACAACGACGACAACAGAGTTGCAAAGTTTGTGTCTGGAGAAGTCACTTTGTATGTGTTTGTGAGAATGTAAGAAAGAGTAAAGTTGATTTCTGTGCGTCGTCGAGAGAAGCGGAAGGCAACATTTCCATACCATCAGAAGACTTGTGGTGTTTGTGTCTTTTGGAAGAGAGAAGTTGGATTGTGTGCTTGTGAGAATGTAAAGGTGATTTCTGCTCACGTGCAAGAGATAGGAAAAGAACAGGCGGGAAGTGTGCCAAGGCTGCATTCATCCGGAGAACGTCTGCCACCGCGAAAAGCAACCCAAACATGGATTATGTGCGTTTGTGAAAATATTGGTGAAAAGGAGATACTAAGGGTGATTTCTGGGCATTGAGAGACAGGCAGAAAGTTTCATCATAAGACATCTGCCATCGCAAAAGGCAACCCAAACGTGGATTGTGCTCATTTGTGAAAATATTGGTGAAAAGGAGAGACTAAGGGTGATTTCTGGGCATCGAGAAACAGGCAGAAAGTTTCATCACAAGACATCTGCCATCGCAAAAGGCAACCCAAACA